TTTAGGTGTGTGAACTGGATGCTTAGCTCATTAATTTTCAGCCTTGGTTATTTCTTAATATTCACGGCTCGGGCGTTCTCGGCACTGCCTGCCTCCCATATGTTTGGAAGTTCTTGCTTCTATTTTCACAGGAGACAAAATATCTTCTCATTTGCATGGCGTTTCTTCCTGTGACCTGTAGATTACTGGAAGGAGCATTTTTTATTCATAGCTATCTTTTCCTGATTTTTGAACTTAATTACCTTGCGCTGGGCTCTTACACGTGACATCAAACCCTTTGAAGTTTATTAAGAGTTCTTTTATGGCCAAAAAAAAAAAAAAAAAAAAAAACGGCCAGATTTTGGAAAGGTTCCACGTGTGCCTAAAGATAACGAGCGATCTGCAGAGTGTGTACGTTTCTCATGCCCCAATTAGGCCCAGTGTGCTGACGGGGCATCATGCATCTTCTGCGACCACAATGGTTTTCTGTCTGCTTCCTGCGGCCATTACTGAGATCTGGCAGTGGGATCGGGGGGCAGAGACAGGATCTTTTGGCGTGGAAACAATAGACACAAGACGAAGCCAAATGTTGTGAACCAGACAGGCAATGCTTTTTAATTGGGGCTTCAGCTTGTAAGCAGAAGGGAGCCAGCTGGGGTTAAGTCAGGGACCAGGAGCTTACAAAGCAGAGGGATGATGTAGGGACAAGCCCTTACTCGAATTCCTAGGCTGGGCTACAGGCTGGTAGTTTTATGTCCATTGTGGGCAGTTTTCTAAGCTGTTTTCCCCACTGAGTACAAGCATCCCCGGTTTGAGATTTGCAGGCAAACAGTGGCCGAGACCAGGAGCTTCGGAGTCTGGCCTGCTGTTGGTGCCATTGTCCTGCCCTGCACCCTCATGCCTTCTTTTGGACCATGTGATACTCCTGGGGGAGTGTGGATGCCGGAGCTAATGAAAGCAGAGTGGGTAGAAGAAACACGTTGGAGCCAATATGCACATCGGGCCTAGTTAGCCTTGTTCTGAGCAAAACTTTTCTCAAATGCTGAATGTATCCATCACCTTTGCTGTCTCTGTGCTGATATGGTCTGGCAAAAAGCAATTTAATGGAGTGGGCTGTAGGCTGGTTAGGTTTTGTTTTGATTTTTTGTGTGTGTGTGTGTGTGTACTTGACATAAACTAGAGTCACCTGGGCAAAAGGAACCTCAATTAAAATGCCCCCATCAGATTGGCTTGTGAGTGTGACTGTCTGTGTTTTTATTTATTTATTTATTTATTTATTTATTTATTTATTTATTTATATTAGTGATTGATGTGAGTGGGACCAGCTCACTGTGGGCGGTATTATCCCCTGGGCTGGCGGTTCTGGGTTGTGTAAGTCAGCCGAACGTTTCATGGGGGGGAAAGCTGGCAAGCAGCGTGTCTCCGTGGTCCCTGCCTCCGTGGTCCCTGCCTCCGTGGTCTCTGTTTCAATTCCTGTCCTGACTTCCTTCAGTGATAGACTACAAGATGTAAGATGAAATAAACCCAAGTTGTGTTTGGTTGGTGTTTTATCAACAGCAATAGAAAGCAAACTAGGTCAGGGAGCAAGTGTTTATGTTGGTTTGATGGAATGCATCAGTCACAGCAGGGAAGGCTGTGGCAAAGGCAGGACACACCTATCTTCAGGCAGGAAGCAGGAGGACACAGGAAATGGGGCCTGAAGATAAAACCTCATGGTCCTGGGGCTGGAGGCATGCCTCAGTGGTTAAGAGCACTGGCTGCTCTTCTAGATGGCAGGAATTTGAACCCCAGCCCCACAGGGCAGTTCACTACTTTCTGTAACTCTAGTGTCAGGGGATCTGGCACCCTCTTCTGGTCACTGTGTGCAATGCACACTTATAAGCATAGATATACATGCAGGGAAGCACCTATCACACACAATAATAATAATAATAATAATAATAATAATAATAATAATAACTCAAACAAAAACTTATATGCACAAGCATTCTGCCATGGAGCCATACATAGCCTGAAAGATATATATATATATAATATATATATATATTTTTTGGATTTTTCGAGACAGGGTTTCTCTGTAGCTTTTGGTTCCTGTCCTGGAACTAGCTCTTGTAGACCAGGCTGGCCTCAAACTCACAGAGATCTGCCTGCCTCTGCCTCCCGAGTGCTGGGATTAAAGGCGTGCTCCACCACCGCCAGGCGATATATATCTTTTTTAACAACCATGTTAAGATAGAATTTATATACAATAAAGTTGTATATAAAGTTCTGCTTGTACATAAAGTTCTGTTTAGAATACAGTTGGCTGTTAGCTTCAACCTTTAATGACCGAGCCATCTCTCCCACCCTTTATTCCTTTTAAAATTAAGATATAATATTTTTACTGATTCTTTGTGAGCAAGGCATTTTCATCATATTCACCCCCTATTCTTCTACTTTGACTCCTTCTGGATTCCCCTGTCCCTCTGTTCCCTCCTCCCAACATCATGCCTTTTTTCTCCTATATCTGAGTCTGGCATGTGCTGCCCATGTACTTCCGGGTGTGGGGCTACCAATGGAGTATGGTCAACCTACCAGGGACTATACCCTTAAAAAAACCCGACTCTCCCTCCCCGAGAAGCTTCCAACTTTCCATAGCTCTTCAATTCGGGGAGGGAGCTCATGCACCCTTCCTCCTCCATGCTGGAATGCCAACTGGCTTGCTCTTTTTCAGAGCTTGCGCAGGCAACCACAGCTTGCATGAGTTCATGAGTGCGGGGGTCCCGTTGTGCCCAGAAGACACTGTTTGCCTGGTCCTGCGGCTCTTGCAATCTTCCCAGACCCTCTCGGTAATCCCACTCTTTCCTACAGATGAAGGTTATTTAACTGAAAAGACACAGGCTTGGGTTTACACACTTGTTGGGGTGTGTGTGGGTTACATCTGCCTTTTGAACTTTTGAGGCGAATGCTGCAGTAAATACCCGAGAAGACGCATCTAGGTGGAGGCCATCCTCGGGGTTCTCTGGGGTGTATACCTACAGGTACCCGGCTATAACCGACTCTGTGGCTAACGATTTGTGGGAAGACTACACTGTTTTCCTAGGCTGTGTCGCGCACATTCTTCCTAGTAATATGTGGGTGTGACCTTCCTCCGCTCCCGTTGCCTTCATATCAGACTCTCCCACGTGCATGCTGAGACTTGGTGCCAGGTACAGTGGAGATGTGGCCTTTGGGAGGCAATTAAATCGCAATCACGGGGCACCCGCTCTGCCAATGTGATTAGCATCCATAGCAAAGGGCTTGACAGTGGAGGCTAAACAGCTCTCGATCTTTGTCCCTTCCACTTTGAGAAGACATGGCATTCTTCCCCTTGGTGTTGGGAGCAGAGAGCAATCTCACCAGGTGTCCATCCTGCTGAGGAGAAACAAAATTCTGTGCTTTGTAGATTTGGTGAGCTGTGGCTGCAAAGGCTCTGTTACAAAATGTCCCACAAGAAGGGCTGGGGATTTAGATGGGTGGTAGAGTGCTTGCCTAGCAAGCCAAGGCCCTGGGTTTGGTCCTTAGCTTCAAAATAAAAGTATCATTAAGCCCAGCAGTGATGGCGCATGCCTTTAATCCCAGCACCTGGGAGGCAGAGACAGGTGGGTCTCTGTGAGTTCAAGGCCAGCCTGGTGTACAAGAGCGAGTTCCAGGACAGCCAGGGCTGTTACACAGAGACAACCTGTCTTAAAACAAAACAAAACAAAACAAACAAACAAACAAAAATGTCTCACAAGAAACAGTTGAGGGCTTGGTCCCCAGTGCAGTGGGGTCAGAGTGGGAACTCAGGGAAGCGACAGGATCGTGAGGCCTCTGTCCTCGCCACTGGATTACTCTACTCATGACTTTAGACTTTGTTGACCCAGCTGGAATGTGGTGGAGATGAGAAAATAGGACCCAAATTGAAGAGCTAGCCACTGCAGACATGATGTGCGGAGATATATACTGTCCGCGGCCCCTCTCCATCTCAGCTCTTCTCCCTCGCCAAGAGATGAGCAGAGAGATGCTCATCTCTGCTGCTTGCTCCTCTCCACCTCATTTCACTCCCGCCGAGATGGGGCCAAGAGACCCTGGACTGAAGCCTCTGAAGCCACAAGCCAAATGAAATCCCCCCTCCCTGAGACTCTTCCTCTCTTGTGTGTGTCACTGTGGTGAAAGTCTGGCCAACACAGAGACTGAGGACCAAGGGTTTTGGTGGGACTGTGCTCATGGTACCTTTGGAACTGGTTTACAGGGGGAGTTTGGAAAGGTTTGGAGAAGCAGAGTAGAGAAGCCCTACATGGTTGTACCCATTGCTCGTGAGGGCAAAGCCTGAGCTTCAGTGGAACCCCAGAATGTTGGAGATGCAAGGTACATGGAATACCTGCTGAGCAACACCAGAAACAGTGCGCAGAGCCAGCCCAGAAGGAGGCCCGTGTACTGCAGATGGAAGGCCACAGGGACAGGGCTGCCCAAGTCTGCTGCAGCCCACACCGCCCCGCCGCATTCCTCTGTGCCGGCCTCAGAGCATCAGAATCTCATATTTGCCCTGCTGGGTTTCTGTAGTCTTCTGCCTTCCTTTGAAGGGCCTGCTCCCCCATTTTGGGATGGAAAGATTGCTCCATGCCCTTGTACTGGACACAGCTAAGAATTTGCTTTGAGTCTCAGAGAACACTTTGAATTTGCCCTTTGAACCGTGTCCGAGCTGTTAAGCCTCTGGGGATTCTTGACAACGGATTAAATGTCCTTTGTGATAGGAAATGGACGTGAGCGTTTGAGGGCTAGGGCAGGACTTTGTGATTAGCGTGGGAAGCGTTCCCACCAAGGTTGGAGCACTGAAGGCTTGATTCTCAAAGCGGCTGTGTTCAGAGACAGGGCTTTGGGGAAGCAACTGGATGCTGAGAGTCTGACTCAATGGGCCAATCCTTGGGAGATTCTTTATGACATTATAGGGTAGAAATGGTGGTTTGAAGATGAATGGTTCCGATGGGCTCATATATTCCAATGCTTAGTCACTGGGGACTGGCGCTGTTTGAAGGGATTAGGAGATGTGGCCTTGTTGGAGGACATGTGTGTGCAGGGAGGGGGGTAGTGGGCTTTGAGGTTTCGAAAGCCCATGCAAAGCCCAGTCTGTCTATCTGCCTGTCTCTCTCAGTCTGCAGATTGGAGTGTAGGTCTCAGCTACTGCTCCAGAGCCACGCCTGCCTATGGCCAAGCTTCCCACCATGGTGATAATGGACTAAGCCTCTGAAACTGTAAGCAAGTCCCCAGTTAAATGTTTTCTCTTATGAGAGTTGCCTTGGCCATGGTGTCTCCTCACAGCAGTAGGACAGTGACTAGGACAGGGGCTGAGGTCACTGCTCTGCAAAGTCATACTCGCCCCAAGTTCCTCCCCCCCCCTTCTCAGGAGATATGTAGTTTGCAATTGTGTCTTCCATTCTTCAAATTCCTTTTTACTTCTTGATGGTACTTCTTTGGAGACAAAGGTTTGAGTTTCATTTTGGTAGGGTGTTATTTATTTATTTATTTATTTTTGACAGGGTCTTGCTGTTTACTTCTAGCCACTCTGGAATTCACTCTGTAGACCAGGCTGGCCTGGAACTCACTCTGTAGATCAGGCTAACCTGGAACTTACAGGCTGGTCTGCTTCTGCCTTCTGAGTGCTGGGATAAAAAGCATGCTCCACCAGGCCTAGCCAAGATGTTTTTAATCTTGAGGAAGCCTATTTTCTTTTGTGTTCTTTGTTGGTCTAGTCCAAGAAGCCCCTGGTTGACCCAGAGAGATGTGGACCCAGTCCTGGTTTTACTGCTAAGGATTTTATAGTCTTAGCTCTTACGTCTGGGTCAGGGGTCTGATAGCCTTTGAGTCCATCGTGAGACAGGTGTTCAGTTTCTTCCACAGTGGGAGTCCCGATGTCTCAGCACATCTGTTGAGCATGCTATGCTTTGCCCTACTGAATGGTCTCAATGCTCTTGAAAAACAGAATTCTTAAGAGCACTTCCAATGCCTTGAGGAACGGCCACGTACAAACCAAAGTCTCTGATCTAGGACGTTTCTTCCACAGGGGTGGGGAGAGGGTGTGTAGTGGGAGAATTGTTCCTTGACCATGAATGTAATGTGATATGTCAACAGGTTGCAGATACGGTGAGAAGAAAACCCTCTGAGGTCAGAGGGAAGGCACAGTGGGGAGGGCAAGGTCCAAGCTCAGCAGAGGCTTCACCAGGTGGGAGACCATAAACCTGAAGGACAACTCTGTAACAGGATTCTGGCGCATTTGGGAACTGGTTAAGCCAGTTGGGCAAAAAGTGTGGGGTGCTGAGTCAGAGGCTAAGTGTGTGTGTGTGTGTGTGTGTGTGTGTGTGAGTGTGCTTTCAGGCCTCAGGAGACCCTGGGAAGGGAAGGGAGAGTCAGTGCAACCACTGCCTATTTATTGGTGAGTCTTCTGCCAGCTTTCCTATTGCATCAGTGTGTGGGAGTGTTCATGCTGGCCTTAGTTTCTGATGGGGTCATGCCCTGGTAAGCTGGAAATGGATCCAACCCCCCTAACCCTGCAAGCCTCCTAGTCCAGGAGCACAGCACAGCAGGGGTACACTGGCAGTGCCCGTGGAACTCCAGGGAGATGTGCAGGGAGGATCCCTAGCCCCCCAACCTGCCGACATCTGAAGCCTGGCTTCTACCGATTACACAGGACTCCCTCACGCTGCAAACTCGATGCCTCCCAAGTGGAAGCATTCGAAGTCAAGGACCATCTGTTATCGTTACTTAATGAAAGATGAGAGCGTGGTTATCACTCACTCCTGTGACTGGCTTGCGAGCAGAATCATGAGCAGATGTGTGGATGTCAGTCTGTTCGGAGCTCAGCACCTCCTCTCTGAGCATCAGCCACTTAGTTGCTGGGCTCTTTCACCAGCTGCTGGGGCCATGTGGTGAGCCCAGATATGCTGACTGGCCTTCTCCGATCAGATCCTAGTGGTGGGCTTTGAAGGCCAAGGGCATTCCAGCTGTGTGGTGTGAGACCAGCTCTGGACCCAGCCCCACAGGCCATCTTCCCTGTATACATCTATGCTTCATCCTGTCTCCCAGAAAAAGTCTCTGTCTCTGTCTCTCTGTCTCTCTCTGTCTCTCTCTGTCTCTCTCTCTCTCTCTCTCTGTCTCTCTCTCTCTCTCTGTCTTCCCCTTTCTCTCTCTGTCTGTCTCCCTTCCCCTCTCTATCTCTTTCCCTCTCCCTCTCTCTCTGTCTCCCCCTGAGGAATACCCCAGTTCCATGGACAGGTGCTGCTGCAGGACTTCAGGCGGCATTCACCCCTTTTCTAGATTTAAACACAGATCATAATGAGCAGGGTGTGGTATCACCTTTAATTTCAGTACTCCAAGTTCAAGACCAGCCTTGAACTCTGTGAATCTGAGGCCAGTCAGGGAACATATAGTAAGACCTGACTCAAAACCACAAAAGAACCCAGAACGTAGTGATATAGTGATCCGTTGATGCCAGAACCGGGTGATGAAGCAAATAGCGTCCCAGGGCTGCTGGACCCTGCCTGGGAACCCACAGTCCAAGACTCCAGCACATTTAGAAGGAAGCCTGGCACACTGCTGAGGCGATTCATCTTGGAGACTGAAGCAGGATGAAGAGAGGCAGAGTCCTGAGGCTGCCTAGAGCCTCTTGCAGAGATAGCCACGAGGGGGACATCGCCAGCTGCTGGCTCCAAGACTGCGCGTCCATCACTGTCCACAGACGGATCCACACGGGACCTGCAGCACCAGGCAAGAGATGAATGGAAAATTCTGGAATATAATTAAGGTAATGGCAGTCCTCTGGCCCCACAGAGTTTAATTTGCAGACGGAGCGATTCAATTCGGGGCTGTTTATCACCCCACGGAGGCTGGTTACATTGAGATAACAGAGAGGCTGTTGTGTGGTTTGAACAGTGATCCGTCTTAAGGATCAGGCAACAATGTTACAGAGGCCTGTGGGAAAATGAGCATCCTGCCAAAGGCCTGGCATGGAGCTCTCTGGATGATGCTCTGGCGGTCCTGATGGGCTTTGAGGTCTCTAGACTCCAGCCCACTCCTGAAGCAGGGCTGTGAGGGCTCCTGGGATGCAAGGCTCCTGGGATGCAGGGACTCTTGGAATCTGAGAATGAGGCTAGCTGGGTGTAAAAAGGATGCTCCTGCCCTGGTCCTGAAAATAGAGTATTTTCTCCACCCTCCACCCCCATCCCAAACACAGAAGATGGTTGAGAGGGAGATGGTAGCCAGGCATTGACCAGCACTTGCTCCCTACAATCCAGCCTCGGCTACCTAACATTCATACAGACTCTTCTTCCTTCCAAGAACAGTCAAAGGTGCCCATGCCCGCATAAAGATGATTCTGACCCAAAGTGAGAATGAGAGCCTGGCGTCTGTGCCAGGCCCTGCAGCTGGCTCCAGGCTCTCCAGATCAGGGACCTTGGCAGCCCTTCCTTCTGGTCTGGAAGGACTTCTTCAGGGCGTAAGGCAGAACTACAAAGGAATCGACTTCCAAGGTTGGCAGGGCCCATGGAGTGGGTCCTGTGTGGCTTGACTTACAGATTCTCAACATCATTAGATCCCACCGCCCAGCTTTCTCTTAAAGGGCAGGTGGGGTTCCAATGGAGCATGTGACCTGAGCTAAGCCAATCAGTGTGTTCCATTTTCCAGGCCTCGGAATTGGTGCACATTCTGAGCTGTGTCTGTAGTGGGTTCAGCTGGTACGATGCCGAGACCATTTCCAAGAAGACTGGGCGAAAAGACCTCACCCTCAAGAGGAATATGAATAAGGCCTCTTGCCATGGGTTTCCTAACAGCGGATGGCTCTTTGAGCCACTTGTGTCCTTGATGCTCAGAGTTAAGTCGAATGCAATTAAGTTTTGAGTCCCCATGGGTGGCCTGTCTAGACTCTTTAGATTGTACGAAAGAGATCCACCTTAAACTAGCTTAAGGGAAATTGGACTTATTGGCGACCCCTATCCTACAGTGAAGAGGACATGGGATATCTTATTGGAAGAGTGAGCAGCTCAGTTTTAGCCACGTCCATGGGAGCAGAGCCTGCTGTTTGCAGTCCAGGGACAGTCTATCTATCCCCACCCTCTGCAGCAGGCTCTGAGCAGAAGTGACTTAGTGAGGAGACGTCTTATCCTCTGGGTCCGTCTTGGAGGGCACTCAAAGCTAAGTGTCACAGGGCAGTAGTGCCCAGGCTCCAGTTGAGACTGCCTGGGCTGTGTCTGAGCCTAGCGAGAGTGTGGGCTGGAACAACACAGTCACCACCTCTGCCTGCCTGCTGCCTCCTCCATCCAATTAAGAGCAGCACCAGCAAGGGGGCAGGATGCTGATGGATGGCTTGAGGCAGGCAAGGGGGAGGTATCCCTAGGGTGGCTCTCATTTCCAGAGCAGATCTAATTACCTGAGCTCCCCACTGTGTCCCTCGTGAGCGTATAGACGGTGGCTGTGGACATGAGGACCCGCAGTGGCTGGAAAGGGTCATGACTCCCAGATAGAGCTAGAAACCCTGGCAGAACCCAAGTTGACCTCAGTAATAGGTTCAATATCAAAATGGCATTGTCCCCTGTACCTGTATGAGGTCCCTGAGGACAAGTGTGTGGGCAGAGGGAGAAGAGAAGAAGGAAGGTTCTGGAAGGTACCATTCTAGGTCCACACTTTGGTACCCAACATCCTCTCCCTGAACCACAGCCGCACCCTGGTTTCTGCATATTGCAATTTTCCCACAAGTGTGTTGAGAGAATATGATGGACCAGAGTTTGTCTAAATGATACCCTTCAACCTACCATCAGGGCATGTAGATCTGGGGCAGGAAGACAAGTGCCCAATAAATCAGTGCAACCTGAACGTGAGCTGGGTGATAGGTTTGCATGGGTCCTTAGCCTCAGTGATGCTGCAGTAACAAACAGCCACAAGCTCACGTGGCTTTTCCCTAAAGTGTGCTCTGACTCTCTCACCTCCATGGGTCCAGGAAGTCTCCCAGACCTTGGCCTGCAAGCAACAGGGCTGTAGATCTAAGACAAGAGTCTTGTCACTCCAGTTCACGCATTTGAATAGACGATACTATTAACCAACAGGATGATGGCTAATATCAGCATGACAGGATCTGGAAAGACCTGGGGAAGCCCTTAGGCATGCCTGTGAGGGTAACCGAGGTGATCCACTCAGGATATAGCAGCATCCTTTTACAGACTGGGGTCCTGGACTACATGAAAAAGAGAAGGCAAGCCAAGTTCAG